GCGTGTCGACCTGTTCAGCTCGCGTATCAACCAGAGCTGGTCGCCATACTCCCATAGAGGGATGCTGTGTGCGCCTAGCGAGGACAACGATGCGGAACGGAGCTGGGTGCGAATCCGAACCTCGGTAAAGCGGGGCGAATGCATGAGCGGGTTTGTTTGTTCGCCGACGCACGCAAGCGCCCTTTGGCTCACGAGCCCCCCTTTTTTAGACCAGCGGCACGAACCTAACACCATCTCACCATGCGCCAGCCAAGATCGCTCCGAGAAAAGCAAAAGAGAAGAGTCCTTGTTGTGATCCGATCCAATTGGTGACTGTGTATGTATCAGGCAAGCAAGACGTCCGAGGCGAGGCATCCAACATTGCCCCAATAGTCGCGGGCGCGCACCACGAGGCGGTACTTTCCCCTACCTCCCTCGTCGCCATCGCGCTCGATGATCGACTGCACATTGAGCGCGCCGCCCAGCTTGGGTTCGCCGCGCACTGTGCGGCTGGCCGAGTAGTAGAGCCTGCGCTCCTTGTCGTCGAACTGGCTCGTGATCTTTTCGGGAAAGAAGCGGCCGTGCGAAAAGGCGGGCATGTAGTGCGAAAACAGCTTGCTCCTCCATCCGTACTCGCTGCCGCCCTCCACGCTCGGTGTCCAGTTGTTGGGCAGCTTGGCATGCTCAAACACCGTGCGCCAGTAGGCCCGATCCTTGTCGTCTGTACCGCTCGGATCCGTATCGCCGCCCAGATCGCACTCCATGCCACGCGCAGCTTCACGTTCGCCGGCGCGCTTCTTGCGGATGCCAACGTCGAGCGCGTAGATCGCCAGATTCTCCATGCCGTCCGCAGGATCGCCGGGAGTCTGCTGGAAGTACTCGAAGCCAACGATGATCTCGGTGGGACCCTGGAGCGTGGGCGTCCAAAAGTCGGTGCTCGTCGCATACGCGTTGGGCGGCGTGTTGAGCGGATCCACCGAGGGCTTGGAAAAGTAGATGATGGTGGGCGAGCCGTACGGCGTGATGCTGGAGCGGTACGAGTTGCCCTCGGTAAACACGTGCAGCGGGTGAAAGTACTGCCATCCGCTCTCGTCCGGATGCTTCCACTCGCTCCACTTGGGGTCCGGACGCGCCACACGCACCTCGAGCGTGCGGTAGCGGTGCGGATAGAACGACACCTCATCGTCGGGCTTCGACGGCGCATGGTCCGCCGGAGGCTCGGTCGACGGCGGCTCCACCGACACGCCTTCGCGCAGTGCATGGCCCAGCACGTCGCCGCGCAGCACCGTGTCGCCCTCGCGCACACCCACCGTGCCCGCATCGAGCCCAAAGATCTGATACACGATCGACCACTCGTCGCGCACCATCACGCAGAAGCTCGCCTCGTCGTTGGCACCCGCAGCCGGCCCGAACAGCGGCGGCCTGCGGAAGGTGTAGTCGCGCGCCCACACCACCTGCCCGCTCACGGGCGCAAACACCTCCTCCGGCGGCAGCATCATGTTGGCATGCACGCTGCCCTCGTCGTCGTCGTCATCCTCGTCGTCGTCATCGTCGCGGGGATTGGTGATGGAGAGTGGGATCTTGATCTGCACGCCGAGCGTCCAAGAGGACTGGTCGACGTACACGCCGTAGTTGCGGTCGTTGGTGAAGCGCGACGACTTGGGGATCATGGGATTTTCCATGGCGCCGGCGATGCGATTGACGTCGCGCGGATGCCAGGTGCGGTCGTCCTGACCGGGTCTACGGTCCCTCGCATTGCCGGCGAGCGGCCATGATGCGCGCGACTGCTCAAGATGCAGCTGCCCGATCCAGAAGCGGTGCGTCTCGTACTGCGAGGTCGCCGAGGCAGGCGGCAGCTTGGCCACGTTGATCGTCACGACGAAGCTCTGGAGCAGCTCGTGCGGCGACGTGGAGCGTGCGAGCTCGACGGCGCCCCAGTACTTGCTCCAACCCGGGCAGGAGCGCTGGTCGAGGAAGAATGCGCCGTCGGCTGCCACCGAGAGCGGCGTTGCGCGGCAGTCCAGTGCGTCCGCTTGCTCGAATTCGATGTGGCTTTCAATTGGACGCGACGAGGGGTGGAGATCGTCGTATTTGCAGCTCTCGATGCCGCCGACGTCGTTGCCGCAGTGGAGCATGACCTGGTCGCGCGTTCTCAACCGCACGGGCCCGATCGAAGCGGAGGCGGAGCCAGTGCTGTAGAGCGCCGGATCCATGTGGACGACGAGCGGGTGGGGCTGGAAGGCGTGCGATACATTGTCGTGATCGGGCCGGTGGATCAGCGATGGCGCGTGTGCCTGGTTGATGTAGAGACCCGCGTGCGAGAGTCGGAGCGCAGCCACGGGCGCCGGATCGTCGTCGTCGACGAGCGCAGCGTTGGCATGCGCATGCCACTGCCTCTCATCGGTGGGCGGCTCTGATGTTGGGGATGCAGCGAGAGCAGGGTCGGAAAAGGCGATCTGGCGATGCGCTCGATTGCTTGCAGCCAGGCCGAGGGGGGCGTGTGCCAGCAGCAGAAGCAGCAGCACCGCCAACAGCGCGAATGGTCGGCGCTTCATGGTCGCTCGGGACAGCACCGATCAGCGCGCGAGCATCGATAGCGGCCGTATCGATTGCGATGGGCGTGGGAACAAAGCAAGCTAGGCCTCGATGGTGGTGGTGGTGGCGGCAGAAGATCAGGGCGGGAGCAGCGTCGGCGCGTTGCCGATGCCCAACCGGCCGTGCGCCGCCTTGTCTCTGTCTCTCCGCGGCGAGTGCGCTTCAAATGCATTCGGGCGCGCTTGATTTCAATTTGGCGCAGATCGACGCTGCACCCAATGCGCAGCTGCAGAGCGTGAGCCTCTTTGGGCGGTGTTTTGGGCCGCGGCCTCCACAACTCCCAACTCCCAACCCCAACCCTATGCAGTCCCGGTTGGGGCTCGATTTCGGCTTCCTCCCAAGCTACCTCCTCGGCTCTTTGCTCGCCATGTCTCTCGGCGCTCGCCCGCCACGGAGCGTTCTCTCTTCGCTCTACTCTGCGCTCGACTACACCGACCACCTACGTCTCACCGAGTCCTCGCTCGGCTACACCACCACCGCCTCACTCACCCCGGACAACCTCGATGCCAACCGGTATCGCGACATATTAGCGTACGACCATGCGCTGCTCCCCGGCCCCTACCTCAACGCGGCGTTCGTCCCACCCTTCCACCCCACCAGCTTGAGCTTCATCGCGTCGCAGGCACCGCTACCGTCCACGTACACGGCGTTCTATACCCACATTGTCGAGCATGGCGTGCGCGTCCTCGTGAATCTTACGCCGCTCGTCGAAAAGGGCCGTACAAAGGCGCATCAGTACTGGCCGGCCGAGGATGCAGATATGGTGCTCGAGAACGGATGGAAGCTGACGTGCAAACCGGCAACGAGGATACAGCTCGAGAATGGCGAGGCGACACTCGAGCGGCGGACGATCCTCATCAAGCCCGGCGAGGAGGCGGCCGAGGGGTTGAATGCACACGGTTGGGGGGTCACGCAGTTCCACCTAACCTCGTGGCCGGATCATGGCGTGTTTCCAACAGCGATGATGATGCAGCTCATGCGCGAGATCCAGCTGGTGCCCATGCCCAAGATCTACCCGCCGCCGCCAACGTGGATCCACTGCTCGGCGGGTGTGGGTCGCTCAGGTACACTGGCGGCTGCGCTCATCGCCCAGGCCGTCATCAACGTTTCCAAACACTCGAACCACGAAGATCGGGACGCATTGCCACTCTTCATGCGAGCAGAGGCCGACTCGCAGGTCTGGGACCTGCCCGTGCGCATCGTGGAGCATCTGCGCAGATACCGAGCACGCATGGTTCAAACGCTCGAGCAGTTCGAAGCGATATTCGATATAGTCCACCATCTCTCCACACCCCCCTGAACTTCACGCTCATGGAATTGGGAAACCACTGTATTCTGTTTTGCGCATCTAGAGCTTGGGGCACGAATCGTTTGCAAAGGGGCCCTTGTAGGATTGGCCTAGCCAGGCAGCCATGTGTTCGAAGCGATCGCTTCCGAACCACATTGCCTGCTCTCCATCGCTTGCACGCGTGATCTCGAAGCTGGGCATGCCAAACAGGCCGTTTTGCTCCACCAACACCTTGGCCTCCTCCTGCATCTTGGCGCGTGCAGGTTTGTCCATGCTCTTATCCAGGATCTCCTTGAGCTTCGACTTGTCCATATCGAGTTTCGCCACGATCGCTTCGACGTCTTCACGTGTGGCGCACGGTTTGTCGTCGTGCCAAATGGCCGCGAAACACGTCTCGATGGCCTGCTCCACGACACTCTTGCTCGCCGAGGCGGTGAGCGTGTCGAGGAACGTCTGCAGATGCATCGTGTTGATCGGGAATGCCTTGGGCTGGTTGAGCGTGACGCCGTAGAACTTGATCGCCCGCTCGCGCTCCGCCCACATCCAAACGCCCTTGTTCGCCACTGTAATAGGCGGTTTGTTGCCCGAAAACTATCAACACCCCGCATCAGCTACACTACTCAAGCAGAGAATAGAGCAGGGAAAGGGCTTACCTTCATAATGTATCCGAGATTGACGGGTTTGTACGTCTATGAAACAAATCGTGTCAGTCGAGATGAATCTGGGACAGCGTGCAGGGGAAAAGGAGGCTTACAATGTCGAGATTCCACAGCTTCTCGTATCGACGCAGCATCACATAGCCGACATAAGACCAGGGCGATACAACGTCATAGTAGAATAGCACCTTGTTGACGCCCGACATGTTTGGCAATTCGATGAGGGGGTGGTGGTGGAGAGATTCGGTGTCAGTGCGCCCTTTATGCGCTTTTTACCCCGCACCCGCAACACCCAGTTTGGCCGGCAGTCCGGCAAATCAACGGCTGCCGAACCGCTGTCAATTCTTACCACCGCGCCAAACGAGTGCCCACCACAAATTTCCGCCCGGCCACCTGGGCACTTTCACATCAGCCCTCGACACACTCCATAGCGTACGAGTGGCACGTCTTCTCATTGGATCCACAACAAGTACAGTTGAGCATCAATCGCGTTGGTCAAGCTCGGCCGCGCTGGGAATGTGCATGCCCGCCTTGCGCGCCTTGTCCACCACCGCGCTCGCCTGCAGCAGCATCGGCCGGTCGATCATCGTCATGCCCCCGCCCTGTTCCTTGAGCCCGTAGGCGCCCCTGTTTTCGGCCTGACTCGCGTGCTCGTACAGATGCAGGATCCGCGCTGCTCGCAGCACCGACTCTTCAGTCGGGTTGAACGTGTGCTGGATGGGGTCCACCTGAACCGGATGGATCGCCTGCTTGCCGTCGTACCCTAGCTGCTTGGCTTCGGTGGCTTCGTCCACGAGGTAGGGCTCGTCCTTGTAGTCGATGCACACCATGTCGATGGCGGCGAGGCCGTATGCTTTGGCGATCGTCGCCATGTGCGCGCGCGGGAAGAGGAGCGACTTGCGATCGCGCGTGCGCAGGATCCCCGTGCTGGCACAGTAGTCCTCGGACGCAAACAGCAGCGCCACGATCTGCGCCACCCCCTGCGCCTCACCCGTAGCCACACCCGTCTGCGGATGTTGGCCGAGCTGCTCGCGCACCGCCTCGATGATCGCGGGCATGCGCAGAAGGCTCGCTGCCGACTCGACCGACAGCACCAGCGCCAACGGCGGCGGGACGGGCTCGTTGACTCGACGCAGCGCGCGGGCTTTCTCGATGATCACACGCACATCGTCTTCGTGCTCCACCTTGGGGATCACGATCGCCTGCAGCTGCTGGCTCGGCAGGATCATGTCCAGATCGTCCTCGGCCAGAGCGCGCTCGGAAGACGGCGGGTTGATGCGTACTGCAAGCTCCGGTCCTGGACGTGCAGCCGCCTCGAGCGCCAGAAACACCGTCTCGCGCGCAGAACCCTTCTTGTGCGCAGCTACCGAGTCTTCCAGGTCGAAGATGATCGTGTCCGCAGACGAGGATTGCGATTTTTTGATCATCTTTTCCGACGACCCGGGCACGTACAGCATCGACCGACGCGAGCGCGACAGCACGTCCGCCGGCACATCGTCTCCGCTCGCTGAAGTAGCCTTTGCGCCACGCGGAGCCGAAGCTGGTCGCCGCCCATTGGCGTTGGATGCGTCGGCGTGGCTGGCGTTCTGCCAGCGAAGCGGTGTGGTGGAGAGCGGCCTTGTGGTGGGTGTCCGGAGTGCGAGGGCGAAAGTAGGCAGTGCAGGGCGTGATAGCTGCCGGGGCATCCCTGCGAGCGCGGTCTTGCCTGTACATCGCATCGCCATGGCTGCCAAGATGTGTCGATGGAGGAGCAGGACGGGGATGGATGGAGAGCAACAGGGTCAATATGGGGCCTCCACCTCCAATTTTAGCAGCCGCTCCAGCAGCAGCAGCAGCGACTCACTGTTTTAACGCCGCTCCCGATGCGCTGCGCCCGGACCACCGCTTTAACTGCGCCTCGCATTTACGCCTCGCTGCCGGCCGACTGAGCGCTCCGACCAAGACGCCGTGGAAATCCAACTGCTCGCACCTTGCTCCTCCACCCCCATCACCCACGCACATCTGCGCCTTGCGACCATGGCCGACTCTTCTGCTGCTGCGGCGGCGGCGCCGGCCTCTTCTGCGCCCGACTTGTCCACGCTCACGGTCGCCGTGTCGTCCGCCACGCTCTCCGACGATGGCAGCGCTACCCTCTCGCGCCGCGGCGAGTACGGCGCCAACACGTTTCAGCTGCCCGAGGGCCTCAAGCGGCTGCTGGCCAACATGTACGACCCGGACACCAACCCGCAGGGCATCATCAACGCCGGTATTGCAGACAACTCGCTGTGCCGCGACGAGCTGCTGCGCTACCTGCTTGCGCCGCACAGGCTGCAGCTCTCCCCCGCCGACCTGACGTACGCTGATCGGTTTACCACCTCGACGCGTCTGCTCGAGGCCATCGCCAAGCTGTTCAACGAGTACACCCCGGACTGGCCCGACACGACGCGCTCGCCCAAGCCTAGGACCAAGGTGGTGCCGGACCACATTGCGATTGCGTCGGGAGCGACGGGGATCCTGGACGAGCTGTTTTGGAATCTGTGCGACGAGGGCGATGGCGTGCTGCTGAGCACGCCGTACTACAATGCGTTTGACAACGACCTGACCAGCCGCGCCAAGGCACAGGTGGTTCCGGTGCATCTGCCGTTGCCCGGCGCAGCACGGGAGAGTCTGGATAAGACGGCGTTTGCAAGCGAGACGGTGGCGGCGTACGAGGCGGCGTACGAGCGCGCCACCAAGCAGGGTGTCAAGGTGCGTGCGCTGCTGCTGTGCAATCCGCACAATCCGACGGGCACGATCTATCCGCGCGACACCGTGATTGCGCTCGCCACACTCGCGGCCAAGTACAAGCTGCACTTTGTGTCGGACGAGATCTATGCGCGCTCGTGCTTTGCCACTGCCGACGTGCGCGAGCCAGCGGTGTTCCACAGTATTCTGTCGATTGATGTGGTGGAGGAGTGTGGGTTGGATTCAGCGTACGTGCATGTGGTCACGTCGGCGTCCAAGGACTTTGCAGTCAACGGGTTCCGACTGGGCGTGCTCGTGTCGCAGCACAATGCGGCGCTGCTTCGAGCCATGGCGTCCGTGGGGCTGTTGTCGCAGAGCGCCTCGCCCGCAGCATCGCTCTGGCACACATGGCTCTCTGATGAAGCCTTTTTGCGATGGTATCTGGCTGAAAACCGTCGCCGCCTGGCACGCGCGTACGAGCACACGGTCCAATGGGCACGCCTGGCTGGTATCCCCTACTTGCCCTCCAACGCCGGCTTCTTTGTCATGCTCGACTTTAGCACAAAGATCGGCATCACCAAAGAGACGGGCGAGAGCGAGGCTGCGAAGCGGGAGGAGGATTTCGTGGATCGGCTGCTGGATTGCGGCGTCTTTGTGGCTCCCGGCACGCAGTACCACCATCCGAACAAGGGATGGTTCAGGTTCACGTTTAGCATGCAGCCCAAGACGCTCAAGCTCGCACTCGAGCGCACCGAACAGGCTCTGCGGCTCGAAGAGAGCGTCGAGAAGAATAGACCACTGCTCGATTTGGACTCGGGCGGTACTCCGGCCCCCGATGCGGGAAAGAGGCAAAGCTGGATTCAAAAGCTTGTTGGCTAGGATCCCACTCGCACTGCATGGCCTAAAATGCGAATCCGATTGTCTATTGCATCCAGAAAGCTGTTTAGGTGCGGCTGTTGGAGATATCGCCTTCATCGTCTGCCTCGATGGCGATGACGTGGTGAGGATCCAACAATTCGTCCTCCTCACTCGCCACCTTTGGCTTTGGCTGTTGTTTTTGCTTGCTCTTGGTCTTTGGCGTGGATGGGACCGCTTGATCCTCTTCGATTTCGTCCTGCGCTCGCTGCCTCTGCGCGTTTGGCTCGGCGTTGGTTCGCATGGCTTCTTCGTCGCGCTCTGTATTCTGCCTATACATGCTGCTCTGCGCGAGGATAGCCAGGTCGATCGAGAGCTGAAACGCCGCACACGACGTGAACTGCACGGGGCTGCTGCGCAGCACAAAGTAGAGCAGCTTGAAGCTGTCACCCCCGAGCCAGCCGAGCAACACACTCGCGCGGAATCCAGCCAGACTCTTACGCCGGTGGTTGGCGATAAGCTGCGGAATCGGCAGTGTCGACTCGAGTCCCAACGCCACGTATCCCAACACAGCGATGAAGGTGGTTGAGCTGCTCAAGACGACGTAGAGTACGAGGAGGAGGAGCGAGAAGAGCGCGAGGAAGACGAGGTACGAGTTGTAGTCGGCCCACTGCCAGAAATTGAGTGGGCGGGAACCGGGAGGTTTGAGAGTTGCCATGAGCGAGCGCGTTCGAGAGGTGGTGTTGGGTGGTGGCAAGGCGCTTGCCGAAGACGCCGGGTCGGTGGACGAAAGTCTACCATACGAGTTGCCCCTAAACAAGGACCCGAGCGTGACAAGCAGCGGTTGCTTATCCGCATACAGTTGGTCTTGCTCCTGCTCTGCGGCGTGCACATCCATGAGGTCCTGGGTAGTTGATCGCGACGATTGCGAGGGTTGCGAGGGTTGCGAGGGTTGCGAGGGTTGTTGGTCTTCATCGGCGTTGAAAACGACGCGTGCGCCGTCGGAGGAGATGCTCTTGCTAAAGCGCGTGACGGGCTTGAAGCGGATGCAGAGGTAGAGCAGACCGAGCTGTGCGGCGATCATGAGGATGCTCTGAAGCAGCAGGGCGAATTCGAACCGCTCGCCGAGCCAGAAGAAGCAGCGCGTGATGTTGGCCAGCAGCAGCACCGCACACACGTCGTGCGAGAAGCCGCGCGCGTCCTGCTTGCGATAGATCGAGTAGGCCTGGTCGGCGTATACCAGCGGCGCACCAATCGCCATGCCCAAAGACGCCAGCGTAGACACACTCATCGTGACGCAAGTGCAGCGAGGCAAGATGGGGATGTGGGGGGAAAAGATGACAAGGATGGTGGTTGAGCGCAAAACCAACACACACGCGCACGGCTCCACTTTGTACCCTTCGCTCGACGCATTTTTCCCACCCGAACCCTGTGCACACCCCGCTTCGGCCACAACTTCACACGCACACTCTGTTGCTGCAGTCAGAAAGAATGCATTGGGCGGCTAGAGTCTGGCACTGGGTGCGGGGAGCGGTTTGGGAGCTGCAGCGGACAGCGTCTTGCTCTTATCGCCAAAGTCCCTCACCACGATCGAGCACTGGACGGTATCGCACAGCCTCTTAGCTGCGCCCTTGACGGCCGGAGGGAAGAGCGTCAATCCTGCCGCTCTCTCGACCGTCTCGACGGGCACGGCAAAGCTCTCCAGCGGTGCCTCGTTGGGAATCACGCTGTTTGGCATGACGAACGCGCCCAGGGCCATCACGTTGGCCAAGCCCACCTTGGCTCCAATCGCCTTCCATTCTGGCTTTGGCCCGGGGGCGCCATTTGCTTCGCTTGCCGTGCCGACGCCGAGGATGACTTTGGCGAAGTGGGTGGGTACGGCGATGTTGGGAGGGTTGCCGATGACCTCGTACGAGACGCGGAACTTTCCATCGGGATACTGGCGGGGCAGGTAGAGCGGGATGGTGAACACGTACAGGTCGGCGAATCTCGAGGTGAGGCGGCGGACAAAGTCCTCTGTGTGTGCCCAGTAGTCGCGGTTCATACCCGCACCCACCTGAGGCGCAATGTTGGTGAGCAGGAACGTCTCGTCCATCGCCAGCTGTGAGACCTTGGCGTCGGCAGCGGGCACCATGTGGCCGCGATCGTAGCCCGAGCGAAAGTAGTCGGCCATCTTGGCGCGGAAGAGCTCAGGGATCCGAGTGTCTTCGCGGAAGACAGAGTTCGAGCGGTCCGGTTTGGGCCCTGGCGGACGCTGCAGCGCTGCAGCCGTCAGGTGCTCGGCGGTCCAGGCGGGGTGCCGCAGTCGACGGTCGTAGGACGAGACGTACGCCGCGTGGCGGAGAAAGTCGGAAACAGGGCCGGGATAGCCTGCCGGTCCGAGGGCGTCGGAAGACGCATAGCCCGAGTCGACGACAGCGACAGATGAGGAGGAGGGGGTGCTGCGAGTGACCGCAGGTTGACCGGGTGCAGCGGGTTGGTCGTGCGAGACAGCCACCGCGGTGGGCTTGCGGTTGGACGCGAGCAGGACCGCTCCACCAACTCCAACCGCTAGACCGCTCGCAAAGAGTCCGGCTTGCACCACATACGACATGGTCACAGAGCTGTCCAGAGGCAATGGTGCCGAGAAGAAAAGGTGCGTCGCCCAACCGCAGTGGCCATTCTTCAATCAGCTTCGAGCGATCTTTTTTTTTTTTT